CCCGCATACAAAGATAAAATTGATGCTATTTTAGATGAACAGATTGTGTTGACTAAAGGTGGGGATGTTCAGCGTTTCCTTGTTCGTTGGGTTGATCGGCCTGAGTCTGATTGCAAATGGATTACTAGAGAGACACTACAGCAGCTTGAACCAGACTTATTGGAGCTCTATCGGAGTCAACAAGATCTTCCTTCGCCCAGTTCTCCTTCCACACATTCATGGAACGTAGGTAGGGACATCAGATTCAGACCATCACTGACACACTTTTATGGACGTTGGATGAAGCTCGTTCAACCCCTTAGTTTATGGTTGGGCGATTGATTGCAGCCTTTTATGACTTATCCGCTCGTCAGGGTCGAGTTTTCTTCCACCAAGGGAGAGTTTATGTGGACATTATCGAGAATTCTTTTAATTGTTATTGGACTTTACTATTGCTGTTTTCTATTTTGGGCTTGTATTAGCGGGTTGGCCCAACCCCTTCAAGTTAGGTTTTTGCTATTTATTGGATTTTCATTGTAGTTAAATCAATTAATGATTGAATGAAATTTAAGGTGGCAGCTGCAATGTTTTTCTCCCCTTCCCTGTTTCTAGTCCCGATTTCTTCCCCTGCTTTTGTCGTCTTCTTCTTTTCTTCTGTTTTCTTTTAAGTTCTTGGCTAGAATTCTAATTTATCCTACATCAATACTAACAAAAATTGTACATTAATAATATGCAGATTTGTAAAATATAATTAATGATAAATTAATTTAAACTCCAAATTTTTCACAAAAATAAATTTTTACAACTTAAAAACAATTTAAATGATTTATCAAGCAGTGATCCACCCATCCGACTAGTGACCCACCAGACCAGTGATCTGTTGACCCCTGTAACTTGTTAGGATCGATTTCCAGTACAGGTCTGATAATTATGATGCCAACATCTATGATAATACCTGTTCATAAATTCATCATTTTTCTTGGTTGTCCTACATGGGCTTCCCAAGAAATATTATCAACCTTCTCATCAGTATCATATAATGAGCAAAGAACTCATGAGATAGTATAATTTGAACAAGATATTATACATTGTTATTCGAGAAATGATCCTTGTGTCATAGGGATGGCAACAGCCCTGCCCACGCCCCCGCCCAGCCAAGCAATTTCCCGCCCTGTTGACCGTTTAAAGCGGGGGCAGGGCGGGGCACTTGCCCCGTTTAATTTTTTTTTTTTAAGTTTTTGATAATTTATTTTATTGCCTCAATTCATTAGATTGAGACAAATAATTCCATTTTCTATTAGAACTAATAAAATTTCGTGAAAATTTTCATTTAAAGTATTGAATTCTGAAAAAAAAAAATTGAACGGGGTGGGGCACCCGTTACCCGTCCCCAACCCGAATACCCGATTGAACGGGTAATCCCCGCACCATTCGGGGCGGGTCCGCGGGTATCGAGTTTTTCGGATTTTTTTGCCATTTCTATATGAGAAACATTATACAATGTTATTTGAGAAATGCAAAAGTCACTCGAGGATTTACTACTAATGCACAATTGAGAGTGATACCTTATGTTTTTGGAGGATACCATTGGGATCACTCATCAGAATCCAACCAAGTCGCCAGCCAGGAACCATCCATCTCTTGGATAAAGAGCCAATTGTGAAGACAGGTACAATTGATCCAAACCTTGCCATTGGCACAAAGGGATTACTCCCAAAAGCTAGATAGCCATAAGCTTCATCTGAAATTATCAGAAATCCTAGCTTTTTTGCTGTCTCTGCAATCTAAAGGACTCGAACCCAAAATGCTAAATATTACTAAATTCCACAAATAAAACAGAAGATAGATGCATTACAAAGCATGAAGAAGTAATATTTAACCACCTTCTGTAAATGTTCGTGTGTGTACACATTTCCACATGGATTCCCAGGGTTTATAAGAACCATGGCAACTGTTTTATCATCTGCCAGGGCTTCTAAGCCATTAAGGTCAACCTCCCATGCCTTCTCTGGAAGAAGATCAAAGTGGCGTATTTCAAGATGGCTAAACACTGCCCGTGCTTCATACAATGGATATCCTGGTCGGGGGAGCAATATGTTAGCTCCAGGACGGGCAAGAACTGTTATTAAGACATCAATTGCTTGCCTTGCACCAACAGTGACAAAAACATCCTTTGGTGATATATCATATGGATGGTCATCAGAGAGATACTCTGCAATCGCCCTTGTAGATGAATAGAAAGGTTCAGACTTCACACTGAAGTGTTAATTCCATGTTAACGAAATATGCTTATTACTTAATATTTCTCAATTACACCATTGATGGAAAGCTAATATAATTCAGAGAAAATCCTACATACAGAAAAGATTCCCCTTCAACAATTTTAGACATTTTAAATGAAAAAAATTATGAAGTTCCTAAAAATTTTCCTCATCTACTTAGTTCCATTTTAAAGAATCTTCCCTTACGTTGAATTTATGAATGATTAATTTTCTTTAGACTAGATTAGACTTTAACACCTTTCAAACTTTACAATGATTACTACTAAAATGAATTTTGTAAAAATTAAAACCTTTCAAATTCCAGTATATTCAGGTTCTTTGAATCTATATTGGATTTTCTTTACATCACCGTCTTTCAGAAAATAAACCAAACACCTCATGTTTAGTCAAACTGACTGTATACACAACAGAGTTTCAAAATTCTGGAACCACAGATAGACATCAGAGGAAATAAAAATATTGCCCAGAAACATGCAAGGCAAGAAAGTTACCTTCTCGCATCAAGAATACCAAGACTTGACGAATAACTATTGAATTTAGCAGATCGAACTGCATCAACGACGGCGTCTTCAGCTACTTGAGCAGTCCGAAAACTCGGGAATCCACTTGGATCGCCATGGCCGAGAGGAATAACAGGCCTATCGTCGTTCTGATTCAGATTTTCTTTAACGGTAGTGAGAAAGCTTCTAATAGTGCAAGCAGATGCTTTGTTCAGGTGCTCATCACCCTCAAAGTTCCACAATGTGCTCTTTTCACCCATTTCTTCTACTTCTCAAAAAATTTGTGGGTTTTGATTGAGGATTTCTGCAGAATGTAAACGGTGGTTCACGGTAATTCTGTGAGTCAAACATCGATTTCGTTTCCCTTGTGTTGTTGGGCTGTAAGTAACGTACTGGCTGTCTGGCTGTCTCCTGAATTAATTAATCCCTGAATTAATGGGACACCTACGGCAAAACTGCAACGTGGGGGTGGCATGAAAATGCAGTGGCAATTTTCACAAATATTTACAGCTGGATCCCAATCAATGCGAAATGTAATAAATAGGTTCCTAAATTTATGTTAGATAGCATCTAAGTCCTATAGACAGCGTTGGTCCATTTTAAAGTTAAAAATCACGTGCAGTGCACGTGATATACAATTATTTTTAATCCCATTAGGGTAGGTCTAGTCATATTGAATGTCAAAAATTATATATAAAGAAAAATTGCTAGGGTTTATCGATTCAAGGTTTTAATTTGATAACGATATTAATTAATTAATTAATTTTTTATTTAATTCCTTTTTGGTTTAAATAAAAATTAGATTTTTAATAGATTTTGATAAAAAAAATAATGATTTCGTGTGATTGAAAAGTTGTGAGTCTTATAAAATATGTAGTTAAAATTAATTATTAACTTTAATTTAAATTTCAATTCAATTTTTTAAGCTGAATCAAACGTTGGCTTAATGTTGACCTTAGGAGGTAAAAATATACTTGAATAATATCATTTTTCCCACGAAAGAAGAATGAAGATTCAATAAGATGGTATGTTTGATTACCCCCTGTTTGAACCCTATTTTTGGGGGAAAATGTAATTAAAATAATAATTTTTTGAAAAATGCATGATTGAAAACGACTTTTGAAAAAAAAATAATAATTAATTTTTGAAATAAATGAAGGTCAAACATAAGTTATAGATCCAATGAACTAAAGGGCAAATTTTTTATGGGAATGTCTACGTGGAAAATGGTTGCATGTTTAACTTGTGACAATTGGAAGATTGTCAGGGATAGTACTTCTAAAGTTGAATTTATTTCCCTATGCCCTTCTTCTTCCCCTAAAGACAATTACGCCCATGATTGATAAACTTTATTACAAAACTCTTTAATTCACATATTCATTTTTAATCACACTTTCACATAATAAAATATATTGTACGTAAACTCAAAATTTTTTCCTACACATTCAAAACATTGTTTTCTCAAAATAATGGCTATCAAATGAGAGCAATACTTTATTTATTCATTCGTGACGTCAATATTGTTCACTTATTATTTATTCTTGAACAAATATACAGGGCCTCAGGGCAATACATATGTTTTATGAATTATACACATGAATAGTTTCCGTGCAAAAGTATAACACATAGAGTGTGTTTGATTGTCATGAAAAATATATCATAAAAAAGAAAATATTTTCTTTATTTTGAGGAAAACAAAAACATACTCCCCCCAAAAAAAGTTTTCCTTAAAAATAAGGAAAAGTAGACATATTTTTAAAAATTTGAAAATATTTTCAATTGAAAATAAATACAATCAAATACACTCATAATGATATATGACGGTGTTAATAATTCTCCACAATGGTAGGCTACTTAATGTGCACCCCCGGAACGTCGACCCCCATGAGGGGCTCTACGCTCACATAGGCCATCTACCATCATAGCCGTCTACCATCACAAGGCCGTCAACCCCCCCGAGGCGCTCTACGCTCACACAGGCCATTTACTGTCTACCATAACGAGGCGTCGACCCCCACTATGCTTAGTCAAATAAATGGCCCTGAGATATGCGAAAACCACCGAACACCAAAAGCGGGAATAACCAACCACTAGACGAGTGGGAAGATACACATGGGACACGTGGCACAACAAATCATGGAACATGGGCGTGCTATCAGGTGCTCATAAATACCCAAATATGGGAAAAGGTATGGACTCTTGAAACCCAAACTATCTGAATTGCAATATCATCTCCCCATATTCTCCAATACTGAACATTAATTCTCACACCGGAGATACAACGAGGGAGAAAGCCCCGACCTCTTTTTGCAGGTTGCAACCGTTGATTAGAGTAGCCGGAGCATCGTACTAGACAAGGTGAAGTCACAACCATTTCACATAATGATAAGTGTACTTTTTGCACTCGTCCAAATCGTTGACATGAATATCAGAGAGTACTTTTAAGAAGTTATTGTTTAATCTCATATAAATATTGTTTGTTTAGGTAAAACACGATGATGGAAGCGATTTTTGGAGAAAATAAATGAAAATGGAGCTAAAATGATAGATTTTATGCATAATTTTGAGGAGGACCAATTGGACATGAATTGGGAGATGAAGAACTTATATTACAATCATAAATGACATGAACTGACCAAAGGACAGGAAGGAAGGACTAAACTGCAGAGACTCCAAGATGGAGGCCGGAGGCCTGTAATTACAGGGCAATAGCCCATGCAATCGCAAGGGCCTGTTTGTGAAAAGCGAGAAGAAATCAATTTTGCCATGTGATCGCAAGGCACGAATCTGACAGGAAGATTTTGTTTCATTTTCCAGTTTCGTACAAACCTGAAAAATAATTTGGACCACGATTCCGACAGGAAGATTTTGTTTCATTTGCAAGTTTCGTGCAATCTTGAACAGGGACGGATGGGGGGGGGGGGGGGG